TACAACACTCCATTATTACACTGTACCTTACTGAACCTGAAAGATCACATAAACTAGAAACAAATGTAATCCATTATTATTATAAGTAAACTGTTTGTGTGAGATCACTCTGTACAACACTCCATTATTACACTGTACCTTACTGAACCTGAAAGATCACATAAACTAGAAACAAATGTAATCCATTATTATTATAAGTTAACTGTTTGTGTGAGATCACTCTGTACAACACTCCATTATTACACTGTACCTTACTGAACCTGAAAGATCACACAAACTGAAAACAAATGTAATCCATTATTATTATAAGTTAACTGTTTGTGTGAGATCACTCTGTACAACACTCCATTATTACACTGTACCTTACTGAACCTGAAAGATCATACCACACCATAAAAATCAGTGCACAAAGATTTAAAATTATATATATCTAAAATATCCATATTTATATTTAAACCTTAAATTGACACACGGCATATTTTAAAGTTAAGTTAAAACTGATATATTTTCCAATTTGGAACTCTTAAAACCTTCATACAATTAGACTGGGGTTGATATCTGGTCTTCTCATACAGCCAGTAAATCTCACCTGTATAATAATAAACAAAGTCAGTGTGACATAGACGCTGGTGTCCGGGTGATTCCAGTGACTGAGGACCTCTAGTTGGTCCAGATCTAAGTTCTCTGCTTTCCCCGTGGACCATGTGAAGTTACTGAACAACTCATTCACAGCTTCTCGGTGAGTTAACTGAAAGAATATTGAACCTCTTGGTGAGTTAACTGAAAGAATATTGAACCTCTCGGTGAGTTAACTGAAAGTACATTGAACTTTTCAGTGAGTTAACTGAAACAGGCCTACCAAACTACCAGACTCAGCACCCAATGATCCCTAATTCACCGGTAGATTGGACCACAATACCTGTTTTCAAGGTGTGCATCGGGGGTTGGAAAATGGTGCATCTCATCTCAAAATTTGTTCCGGGTATCATACTGTGAAATGTGTACATTTGGTGCCTAGTCTGGTAGCTGGGTAGGCCTGTGAAATTACAGTGGACTTTTTAGTGAGAAAACTGAAAGTACGCTAAACTTCTCAGTAAGTCAAATAAAATGAACAGTGGGCTTTTTAGTGAGTTAACTGAAAGTACACTGGACTCTCAGTAAGCCAAATTAAAAGCAGTGCACTTCTCAGTGATTTAAGTGAAGGTACAGTGGACTTCTCAAGTAAGTCAAATAAAAGAACAGTGGTCTTCTTGGTGTATGAAGTGAAAGTACACTGAACTTCTCCATGATGTAACTGAAAGTGTGTGGAAAGTAATTTATGCTTTGATACCACTGCAGTTTTCTCCAGTATAATCTCAGTACATTTTGAGGTATCTATTACTAATGCAGAAAAGGTTTGGTAAGTTGTGTTGGAAAAATCGGACAAACTAATCATTTGTTTGTTTCAATTGAGATAGCCCTTGTCTTGTGAAAAATGTTTCCAGAAAACTTACCATTCCAGCTGTATACTGCCCCAGCCCCAAGGGAAAGGATAGAGTGGATATCAAAAATGTTATCACAGTTGGATAGATGAATCGACTGAAATAAA